TGTTGTTACTTTAAACTGGAGTAAAACTCCTTGCTGCTAGAAGTTAAGCATGGAAGCTAAAATTAAAGGCACAGTTGTGGAAAGGGATGTTATATCTGCCCAATGCTAGAACCCCTGTTGCATATTTATCTCTGATTAAATATCATTGCTGTCTCTAGAGTGCATAGAATATGAGCCTTTCTTATTCTCAGATTTTTGGTTTTTGAGAGAACTTATGACCTGATCTGGCTGGAAAATGTCATTTTCATTCCACGGGAAATTCCAAATTTTAGATTTTTTTTTCCAGTATGAATTGTCCCAAAGCTAAAATTTTCCATGGAACAAATATTCCAAAACCCCTTCATTTTGACAGTCCTGAGTCATCTGTTTTAGAGAGGTTAAATAATCATAATAAAATATCAAATATATATAGTTAGTAGATTTTATTCTAAGGCCAAACACTTTTCCCCTTCTGCTATCAGACGTCATTAAGTGATACATCCCCACACAAGTTTTAGCTTTTGACAAAACCTTATACTTTGAAAAAACTGTTTTGCTGGAAATTTTTTGACCAGCTCCACTTGAAACCTATCTTCCCACAAAGGTGATGCCACTCACCAGTAACAGATTGGTTAGAGTCAGATTGACTCTAACCAATGGCAGATTGACTTAAGAGTCATAGAAAATGGCAGATTGACTTAAGAGTCATAGAAAAATAGGGTTAGAAGGGACCTCAGGTGGTCACCAAGTCCAACTGTTGCTCAAAGTAGTTCAGACAGGGATGATCTCATCTCAGCAAGGTGTTTGGAAGTCCTTAAGTACTGACAATGGAGAGTCCACAACCCTTCAAAATAATCTGTTTTAGTATTTACCCATCCTCATATTTAGAAAGGTCTTCCTAATATTCAACCTAAATTTCCCATTTTACTTTTAGCCCATTACTACTTGTCCTGTCACCTGTGGAGGCAGAGACTTGGTTGACCTTTAGGATCCCTCTGAGGTCATTGCTTTCTTTGCTGTTTTAGTTTAGAAACTCCTGTGAAACCATTCCTTGGCACACTTGATGGAGATCAGCAGAGACCAGAATCACTGGGGGCACAGCCAAAGGAGAAGCAATGCTTTCTATTGCAGACTAGAAAAGTACATTATTGAACAAAAATGTAGAGGACACAAACTGCAAAGGAGAAAGATTTTTTGCCAGTGGTAAGTCTTTGAAGAACTCAGTACTGTGTGGGTAGAATAGGACTTTTGAGGCTGATTGGGAGCAAATCTGAGGGTTTCTACAAAAGGAGAAAGGGAACTTTGTACACATTTGAGTATGTGTGGCATGATATGGTCAGATGTCTTTAAGGGTACACCTTCAATGTGGTAATGTAGGCTAGTTTAACACTGCAAAGCTCTAATCTTCTCAGCGCCATGGACCTGTATTCATAAGGAAGCTGTACTGATGTGGGTGCTGGGACAAATTTCTGGTGCTATACTGATGGCTTAATCCTCTGCTCTCTGACCTCATTAACAGGTGGCTCTCTCTTGCCTATCATAGAGCGGCAGTCTGGAACAGTGACATTAGAACAACACTTATGTAAGGTTCCAATAACAGCATTCATTCTTCCAGCACACACTTCCAAAGGGAAAAGCGGACAGCATGTCACAGCATGGATGTTTAATGAATGTCATCAGAATCAGTCTCCAAATCACGAAGAGATTTGTAGCACATTTCTCTGACTTTTCCACCTGTCCAGTTCTTTCTTGTCCACTAAACATAACCTCTGTTCTTCATGCCACTGTACAGAGTTTCTTTGGGTGGTGTCTGCCAACTTCTAAGACACCTTCATGATGCATTGGTGTTGTTGGAGGCCCTCTGTTTAGTGTCTGTTTAGCCCTTTGACCTCACTCCCATCTCCAAGCTGAAGTATCCTCTGTATTCATTTGAACCATCACCCTGTCTGAGTTGTTAGTTCCAGGTGGACCCAGACCTGCCTGTACCAGTCACTCTAATAAACAAACGTGAAAATGTCACCATGGGTCATTTTCCTGAGGTTATGGGTCTAAGTGATATCACACCAGCACTTCATCAGAAGGCTGGTGTCAGCTACTATCCTATGGTCAGAATAGGAGGAAGACTGTGTCACTGTTCAAACACCGTACAGGTGCAGCAGAAAAGAAGCAGATAAATGTGAGGTTAAAACACTAAGTGCAGTGGCTTCTGAGGAAGAAGGGAGGAAGCAGACAAAGCACAGACCAGGTGAAGTTGTGGGTTGTGAAACTGTGCTGGGCCTGATCACTCTGGGTTCTCACTGCAACACAGGCTGAAACAAAATGCAGGTTTAAGGCTATGTCCTTAACTGTGCTTGCTTGCTCATATTTATAGCATGCTTGAGTTTAGTTAGACGTTTTTCTGTGTAGCTGAGGGCTGCAGTAGCACCTGCATGTACTCTATATGCAGAAGACATTCTGAAAGTGGCTGGCAGCATTCTAAAGAACTGGGATAGAGCTGGGAGACAACAAAGTCTAGGATGGATACAGCATCAAAGCTAGCAGCAAATGCGGGATGCAAGTTAAGAAGAGGTCCAGAAAATTTGGATACAATGACTGGTGTGCTGTTCCACAAAGTGTGAAGGGGAAAAACATCTTACTTAACACTGTATCAGAAAACAAAGACATCCAGTTGCCCTTTAATTCCTCCTTCAGACTTATATCTTAAAATCCTCATGTGGCTATCAGCTAGTTCCCTTGAATTCCATGTTTCAGTTCACATTTCTTTCTGATTTATTTTTCATTTCAGTGAATTCAAGTCAAAAGGGGAAGAGCTGGAGCAGCCACAGTTAGTCAAGTTGGAGCAATATTAAAGCAGGCATGTTTCCAGTCAGCGTCTTTTAGTATAGGACTGGCTAATTTTGAAAACACCTGAGTAAGGCTCCATGTTTCGTTCAGCTATTTATAAATTAGAAAACTGTGGAGCTGAGGCAGAGATATGTCATACAAAAGATAATTTGGGAAGGATGGTGGCAAAAGGTTACTAAGCTCTTGGAATAGATCGTGTGTAATTTCCTGGGTTTGCATGCTAAACTTCCCCAACTAGAGTCAAACTCCTTTTGGAGAAGCATATAGCCAATGCTAATTCCTTGTACCATCCTAATCTCTTAACTGCCCCGCAGTGTTAGCGGACAGGAAAGGGAGATGAAGTAAGTGCTGTTTGTCAGTTTAAATGACCAACATTGTTTATCTACACGTGAGGGAGCTGTTACTGCTAGAAAGGAATGTGTGGTATGTGCACTGAAATGAAAAGCAAGTAGATAAGTGAGACCCTGGTTTCTGTACAGGATATGAAGTAAGGGTGGGAGTGAGCAGGAAGATGTGTGGTCAAGGTTTTGGGTGTGAACTGTATGAGGGTGGAAGAGTGATATCTAATTTAGTGTTCAAGACATAAGGAATAGGAAATAGTGAGCTCTATGTATGAAAATTCATTTGGTGCCAAAATGTTTAACACTGGGTCCAACTGCCAGCATGATATCACTCCACTGAAGTTCCACCATGGTGAACTTTGCTTCCTTTGTCCTTTGGTACTTCATGAATTTGAGGTAACTTCTGTTTGCTTCTGAATTGCAGCTGCTACTGAGGTGGAAACAACAGTTGTTACAATACTGAACCAGAGTTAGGAAGGGAAGGGCAATCTTTGTCCGCTTAAAAGATCTGGGATCGTTTAGGTAGATACTCCCTGAAATTCAGACTTGGTGTGAACAGGTGAACTCCACTGGCTTGCTTACACTGGCTTGCTTACACTCCATCTCAGGGTTTAGTCTGCCTAAATGAATTAACTGAACTTGAGGTTGGCCAGGGTGTTGCTAAGTTAACATAGTGATTAATTCCTTCAAACAAACCATGGGATAATTAATGACCCACAAAGGTAGGGAACTATTTGTCCCTGAAACCCAGCAACATACTGCTCTTTCAGTGTTTTGTCTTGTGGTTCAAGTTCTTTGTAAACCTGTGACAGAGCTCTCTGAAAAACGAGGTAGAAAAGTGTTAGGTTGCCCAAGCATAGGAATGCCTGAAGAACAAATTCCCCTTTACCCGCTCAGGCAGGTCTTTTCCCTGCTGATTTCCTGTACAATGTTCCCTATTATACCCTGGTGAGCTCACGTTTTGCCTAGGTTCCCAAGCTATCCACCCCTTCCATCACCAGAGCTGGGTAGGGAAGGGGAAAGATTTCCATGTTAGAAGAGAAGCATGCACCCTGCATTTATAGCCTCCCGTCCTTTCAGCTGCCCAAATCTCCCTGTTCTGGGACATATACCCTCTTCATCCCCATGACACTAACCCTGCCCAGACCTGAACTAGGCCTCACTGTGTTGGACCCGGGGTAGCAGTGTGGGCAATGGTACCATGGGATCAAGCAAAGGGCATGTGGGTCCATGCCAAACAGCACTGTCTCCTGAGCACCTGGTCTCTATACAGTCCTTTCCTGTGATTTCTCCCTCTGGTTCATCATTTCCACATTGGACTCAGACCCGCTGACATTTCTGGTTGTTCTACCAACAGCACCATCCCCATTCCTTCAAGCCTGACCTCCTCTCCCCTTCTTTCTCTCTCCCACACACTCCCCCCAGCCCCCTTTGTCTCACGTTTGGGACGATGTGAATCTGGTTTAGGCCAGAACCAGCCCTTTGAGAGAAGCTGTGGGCCATTTAGTGAGCACCCCAGGGGACTGTGGGGGAATAAGAAATCCTCCTGGCTCCTTGCTGTGAAAACCTGCCCCCACAGGTGATCAGCACCTCCATTTTAAATAAATGGAAATCAAAACAGCCTGGACCTGTGCGCACGCACACACACGGAAAGGATAAGGGGGATTAGGACTTTGTATGGCACAAGTTTTACCCCTTAAACTAGAGAGGGGCTATAAACTGGCTCAGTTAAACCAACTCATGTCCCCGTGGGCTACTCCAGTTCGGGCTGAGTGGCTTCCTTCAGCTTCGTTTCGATCAGTAAGGGGCCTCCATGAACCTGAAGTGCCTGTCCCTGGGAGGAGCTGGTGCTGGGCTGCGCAGGATAGGAAGCGAGGGCGGGAGGACGAGCGGAGGGTAGAAGTGGCCCGCTTCGGATCGGCGCTGTGCGGCGGTGGGTGGGTGACAAGGGCTTTTGCTGTGAAACCAGTGCCCGCACGTCGAAGCCGGCATGGCCACGGTGAGAAGGGAGCTACCCCCGGTCCGGCCGGGACGTGGGGTCTGCGCTCCCCACAGGCGCGTGCCGAGGGCTGTCCTCCTGCGGCCAGCAGGACACGGGGGCAGAGGCGCAGGCGGGGCGCAGGCCGGGCGCGGGGCTAGGCTGCCCGAGGGCCGCTGGCGCGCGGCACGTGCGGC